GTGCTTGCGTAGTGTGTCCGTCCAGTGCATAATGATTTAACTTAATTGGATTTAGATTTAAAAATACGAATTGTTTATACAATAAGTATTTTTATTTTAACTTTTTTAATTAAAATGATTTTTAAGTTAAAGACAGACACAAAGAGATCCCGCTTTGCTGTCTCGTAATTATCTATATTTCAGCTTTCTTTAAACAAGAAATATTTTGAAAAGTTAAAAATATTTTTTGCCATATTTAAAAAATATTTTAAGTGAATAAGATTTTAAAATACGAGAATTTATACAGTAAGTATTTTTATTTCAACTTCTTCAAACAGACATGTTTTAACGTTGAAATCAATTTCAATGTTTTATAAAATGAACCGTCACTGGTCCAACGAGTCACAGGTAGTCTAGTGTTTAATACAATTGTCATTTTCATATTTCACAAGATCCAGGTATTTTTCTACTTTATAATTCTTTTTCAACATCATTCTGTGGTTTGCTGGAAAGGCAACAACTCATTTTTGACAGGTCGGCTTCTCTTTCTTTATGATGACTATGATTTTTATCTTGGCTTCAGCTGGGTAATTTGTTTTAAATTCAGTATCCTATAGAATTTTCTCCCTCTAGAGTAACTACCGAGTTGTGCTTATATCGTTGGTCCGTACAATTAAGACTCAGCTGTCTGCAGGATTCCCTTTGTATCACCGTTCCTACCAAGTCATGTCTATGTTTATACTCACTCTGAATTAATTTATTGCATTCACTATTTATATTTTTCGACCTTTAACATACAGTCAACACTTACAATCTTTTTTTTTCATGTAAGTATAATTTTATAATAATAATAATAGAACAGTTGCCATGAAAATATTTGTAGAAAGGACAGGAGGAAGCCACGTTACGTCGGTGAGAAAGTGTCTGAAACCAAAATGCCAGGTCAGGACCGATAACATTACAGACCCTTCTTTGAATTTTGTCAAGAATCTTGAGACATATAGTAGGAGCACCAGACCAGATATGGCAGCAATATTCAATGCACAGGCGAATGGTACATTTATAAATTTGCAAGAAGGTTTCTAACGAGAAGAATTATCTAGCACGACACGGTGATCCCCTCCTGCCTCTAAAGTGAAACTGAAAGAGAGTGATAAACTCGAAAATCCTGTGGAATAAAGAAATCACAATATAATCCATTATTATTAGAGTGTCTGGGACAATGCTAAAAGACGTCTCAAAAAATAAAAATTGGTAATTCAAAGACGAGTATAAACCATCCAAACCACATTATTGGAATTACCAACAATCTTAAAGATTACTTACAATAGCTTGATCTTGTTTATGTGCCATGTCCATGGGTGATCTTGGCTCTCCACAACTTCCTAACCTTTATAAACTTGAGCAATATTTATCCTCGTACTATCCCGACTAAACCTGTTCTGTTATCCATTTGCCCCAGCTTTCCTGCTTTTACTCTTGTGAGTGTCAAATTCTCCAAGTCTTCTTTCCTCATTATGTATTCAAGAAATTTCAACTCTTTCTGAATCTAAGAACCAGTGTTCTTTTTGTTCTTATTTTAATTAAAACTTTCTCGTTGCACACATATTCCGTTCGTTCGATTACCGAATTTAAGCAGCGTCGAGCCCGGTCAGTACTAAGATTGGGGGATCGCTTGGCAATACCGGGTACTGCAAGCGATTTTCTACAATCTGAAATATGTTTCGGTTTTAAATAAACCAAAAAGGGTTGATAAATCTTAGAAAACAAATCAATCAATCACACGTTCTGTCCATGGCATTCTCAGCATCTTTCTATAGGATCACATCTCTTCTTTATCTCGAATTTGAATTCTAGTCTAGATTCACTTACGCGCAAATATCCTTTAAAAGGTATGACTCCATTTTCCGCAGCATATGGGTTAAATAGTAGTACTTGTATCCAGAAAAAAACATTATTCTAAAAATAAGAATTGTTAATCCAATATTTACTCTCAAAAAAGAATTATTCGTACTGTTCAAAATCTTTCGGCTTTAAAATAACCCACAAAGGGTTGATAAGCCGTAAAAAAAAAACAATCAAAGAAAGCACAAAGATCCCTCGAACTAAAGAAAGAGTTATTCTTACAATCCAAAATATGTTTCGGCTTTAAAATAACGCACGAAAGGTTGATAAGCTGTATAAAACAAATCAATTAATCTTTCTTCATCAAAATGTCCAGCATAAACAACCATATAGAAAGAGTGTCACCAGTGTTAAAGAGACATTAACAAGTACTGGTGTTAAAACTTATTAATAAAATGAAGCAGTTCGTTATCACTACCCTAAAAATTACCATCTTCATACTCATCATCACCACCATCACCATCATCATCATCATCATCATCAGACGAGTAATTGCATAATTTTTTTAATACTACCACATTGGATTCTAGAAGCATTTATTTATCCATATGCAAATAATTAGTCAGTAATTCAAATCTCAGTTCCGGATGAAACCGAGCTACGTCTACTGATATGGATGCATACTTATTTCTATGGAAGGAACAGTGAGAATTCCTCTTTTCTATAGAGGCTTTTGACTAAATCATCTTTCTCAAGGTATAATGTAACTTCTTTCGCAAGTTAACGAAGCGTATGGCAAGTAGAAAGTTTAGTGGATACGATTCAAGTGAGACGAAAAAGAGTGGCTAAGTTCTCTTCCGATATTAAATGCCTAACTGTCGGAACATTCTTACTCTTTGAACTCATTATAACTGACTCGTCTTCATTGCTGCTGACGGTTTAATAAATATGGCCGATACACTTATATCTTAAAATTTATTCATCTTTTTGTATTTATTTATTTACATTTAGCGCCAGCATCACTTATATTTATTGAATTTAATGCGAGACTAGGAAGTTATTCTGCTAATAACGCAATGACTAAAATCAGCTTCAGTTATTTGAACTTTTAAGATGACTTATATTTCACTATCAAATTTTTAATGGTGTTTCCTTTAACTTATTGTTGCTTTTTCACCATAATCTTCAAGTGGCTGTGTTCTACAACAGTTTATTTTAAGTAAATATATAATGTGGTTTTTTTTATTTAAATAATGTTCACCCTGTACAAGACCCAAGAGCCACTCGAGGTAAAGGGTTACAGAGCAAGAGGCACAGTTTATGAGGATATGTGGGGAAAATAACGGTTAACTCTAGATTTGAACAGGTTTAAGATTGTAGCGATCGGGGAATGATGGTGCTTAGCTAGAATGTGCGTTCGTAGCGATGGGCGAAAATTCTATGTCCGCTCAGATTGAACGTCAATAGTTTGGTTTTCGTGGTATCCCACCATATATCTATATGGACATGTGTGTAAAGGATAAAAAAATAGGTCATTATTTAATGAATTAAGCAACGTTGAGTCTGGTCAGTACCTCGATGGGTGACCACTTGGCAATACCAGTACGCTTTAGCGTGCGGGTGGTGTAAGGGATAACGGCTCGGAATTGGAAATCGGTGAGCCAAGTTCCAAATCCAATGTGCTTCTTTTTATTCACTTAAATGCAAATAACCTTGGAAAAGGTATAAATCCATCTTTTAATATAACGTTTTAAATAACCTGCAGGAGATTGGTAAGCCGTAAAAGACAAATCAATCCATATTTTTATATTAGTTTAGTCTAGTTGAAAATAACGACCGGGTTATGATTGGGTCTAACTTACTTCATTGCTCGAAGTATAAAATAGTCTAGTCGAAAACTATACTCCACTAGAGCAGTTTAGTAGTAACAATAACTGTTTTTCCTAACTAGAATATAACAGGCATGAACCCATTCAATAATCATCAATTATCCGTATTTCTAATAAGGAATATATATATATATATATATATATATATATATATATATATATATATATATATATATATAAAGAACAGTAAGATATATAATCCGGTGTTCTTATAGATATTTTTTATTTTTGCAAAACAGTGCTCAATGTAAATTTACAGAGCATTAATATTATAATTAATTGATTTAAAATATGTTTTTTTTGCTACACAGTTCTAACCATGTTTCAAAATGGAAGTTAAAACCTCCGAATTTAATTATAATTAATTCGGAGCTTTTAGCTTCCATTTTGAAACATGGTTAGAACTGTGTAGCGAAAAAAAAAACATATTTTAAATCAATTAATTTATAATATATATATATATATATATATATATATATATATATATATATATGAAATGGATTAAATCCGACAGATTATTTAATTTATTTGTTTTTAAACGTTATTTTTAAATGGATACTCGTATTTGACTAAATGCTCTTATTTATTTATTTTATTTATTTACTTACATCTTACCAACCTGAATATTCAAATAATCTTGTTAGAAAATATCCCGGAGTACGCAGATTTTCTAACAAAATTTCTCAAATATTCAGGCCGGTAATATTTGCATAAATAAATATATTGGTTAATAAAGAAATAAAAACAGAACGTCTACTCAAATACGTGTACTCATTTAAAAAATAACTTTAAAACAAATAAACTATATATATATATATATATATATATATATATATACTGTATGATATAATTATGGGATATATGTAAATATAAATTATGAAAGTGGGCACTGAGGTCAACACCAAGCAGCGACAGTCTGTTTCATGCTTGTGCGCAACCTTCTGGCCTGATTGTTACAGTAAACTCGTTACAAGAAAACTTTTTTTACTTTACCATATATATATATATATATATATATGTGTGTATGTGTGTGTGTGTGTGTGTGTGTGTGTGTGTGTGTGTGTGTTGTGTGTGTGTGTGTGTGTGTGTGTGTGTGCGCGGGGCGTGTGTGTGTGTGAAATTTGTTTAAGCATGTATCAGCATTGCAAAAGATGAGTGCACTGACATGCACTCACACATGTTTGCGGACGCAAGTAGAACCATGCTGGTGCACGTGTTAGTGTGTGTGTGTGTGTGTGTGTGTGTGTGTGTGCTCATTTTTTTTAATGCAATGCGCAGAGACAAAAGATGTCTGTCTGTATGACAGCAGCCAGGAGACGCCGCCGTGTCTATGTGAAAAGAACCCCAGCAAACGAAAGGGTACAAAAATATGGCAACTATTCTTATTATTGAGAACCCCAAGAGGGAACAGAAAGCTGTCGATCGAATATAAGAACCACACGCCTGGATAAAGTCATTTACATTATCGCTAATCCACATTTCAGAAGGCAATATATTACGTCTGCTAACCGGATGTTCTGGTCATAATAAAACTGTAAATCTCGAGAAGCAAATTTAAATTAGGAAGAAACTAAAGCCAGGTAGCTTAGGAATATTTTCATAGGTTGATGCAAGCGTTTCCAACACGACAAAATCTTTTATTCGTGTAAATTCTTAGCGCCATTATTCATTCAACAAAGAATTTATGACAACATTTAACAACCGTATCCGAAAAAAAAAAACAATGTTTTCGCTTGAGACCGCTGCGTCGAGCCCAGTCAGCACTTAGAGAGGAGACTGCTTGGGAACACCATGTAATGTAGATAACCTCCTGCAACACGAAATATTTCGTAATTACTAAAGGATTTTCATTGCCAAACATAAAAAAGCCTCCATCTTTTATATGAGTTTCGTAGTTATAAAATAAAAGCATCGTTTAATATAAAGTTGATCTAATCGGGTGGAAATAAAATCATGAACTTATACTGGAGCATAAGGACGATTTACGAATCAATCATTTGTCTGCGAAAAAAAATACGCCAGCCGAGTACGTTACATTCACTCCCGCGCAAATGCCCTTTGTAAATGTTATGGATCCATTTTTCTTCCCTCGGCTATATATATGGTAAGACTCGTATCTGGAAAAATCATTTTTATTTCTAAAATATTGTTTATGCAATATTCACTCGCAAAAAATATTCTTACAATCCAAAATATGTTTGGGTTTTAAATAACCCACAGTGGGTTGATAACCGTAACAAACAGATCAACCAATCAGTTCCTTGACACTCCTGTTACTGTATACACCCGCTGTAATTTTTATTGTTTCAAAAGGCGATTTGGGGAATTTTCCTAAAGCCCAATTAAAAGATTGTTTGGTTCAGAGTAGATATATCCCCACCCTGTGTTAATGAATTTATGAGACAAGAGAAAATGTGAGAAATGACCGGAAATGTAAGAAATGTGCGGAAATGTGAGAAATTCTCGGAAAAATGAGAAATGCCCGGAAATGTGAGAAATGTCCAGAAATGTGAGAAATGTCCGGAAATGTGAGAAATGTCCGGAAATATGAGAAATTCTCGGAAATATGAGAAATGCCCGGAAATGTGAGAAATGTCCGGAAATGTGAGGAATGCCCGGAAATGTGAGAAATGTCCATAAATGTGAGAAATGTCCGGAAATGTGAGGAATGTCCGGGAATGTGAGAAATGCCCGGAAAACGCTTCTTTTTTTTATAAGTTTATAATAACACTTACTCGTCGTTATAAATTTATTTAAATTTTGGGAAGTGCCTGAAAAAAATACCCCGATTGCATGAATGAGAACGGATAGACGAAACTGTTCTGAAATTCTAAGTCCTCAACAAATTGTTAGATAGAAGCTCTTAATCATCGATGGCGCTGTATAGAGATCGTGTCTCTGTAAAAGCTGCCTGATCCCTTACGAATATGTATCGATCTGAAAAATGCATACTGACTGAAATTCTTAAAAGAAGATGAGCACGAAAGCGGAAATAGCACAAAATATTTTTTTTGCCTTAGCGGTAAATTTGTGTTGTTACGTTTAAACCTGACAAAAGGTATTTTTAAAGCGCACTCTTCAAACATACTGAATTTTTTTAATTACATTATCCATGCTTATATATTTAAGCAGAGAATATCAACTATGGACGGAGATTTATGAGCACCTAAGTAGGATATTGTCAAATGGAAATAATTCCTGAATTAGATATATTTATAAAGCAAAATATCAACATGGCAATCAGTTTGCCACAATCTCTCACACACACATACACAGACAAACACACAGGAGTGTGTAAATCTCTCTCATGAGGGGTATACACATTCTGATACTTACCGGGCACAGGAATCCGTCCCTGCGCTAGTATAACTAGCTTAGACGAGCTCTGACCAGCTTGGGCAAGCTATGAACAGCTAAGATCAGCGGCTCGAGTGAAGACATTCGGGTCCCTACGTTAAAAACTAACCTTGTGTCACAACTTTACTTAGTGGAGGGGGTGGGCAAGTAAATACATACACGGACAAACACACATATTCTCTCTCTCTCTCTTTCTCTCTCTCTCTTTCTCTCTCTCTCTCTCTCTCTCTCGTATTTTCTAGTAAACTTTTGACGTGTTTTCTCAGCCTTTGCCACGTCTAACATGGTTAGCGAAACGAAAATAAAATGAAGGCTAGAGAACACAGCAACCGAAACTTCGAGATAACAACAAAAATGAGGACAATAGTTTTGTACACTATTTACATTATTCGGACTATTGTTCTCATCTTTGTCGCCATATTTATTACAACGTTTCGGCCGTTGTACGCTCTGACCTTCTTCAGGTGGTTGGAATACCGAACTGAAACCGTTATTTCGCTCACTGGGGTAGACTGTTCTAGTTCCACGTGCCATGTTCTTAATGGCTGTCAGTTATCAGTTCTCCTGTTAATCTCCCTCTGAAAGTTCTCCACTGCCTTAACTGAGTATTGAAATCGCACTCTTTGGGTCCTGTCACTGGATCTAACCAACGCGTCAAGGACGCATGGCACAGTGGATAAAGGCGTTGGTTAGATCTAGTGACAGGACCCAAAGAGTGTGAGTTCAATACCCGATTAAGGCAGTGGAGAACTTGGAGAGGGGAATTAACAGGAGATAACTGATAACTGACATCCATTAACAACATGGCACGTGGAACTGGAACAGTCTACTCCGGTGAGTGAAATAAAGGGTTCAGTCCGACATTTCAACCACTTGAAGAAGGCCGGAGCGTACAACGGCCGGATCGTTGTAATAAATATGGCGACAAAGATGAGGGCAATAGTCCGAATAATGTAAATAGTGTACATAATACCTCATCTCAGAAATATAGACAGATACAATAGTTTGTATTATGTAAATAATGTAAATAAGACAGCCATTTTATTTAGTTGATTAGTATATGACTTGTTTGAATGAATATCGATCCTCCGTATAGAATTGTTTAAGTATTGTATCTGCTGTGCTTACATAATTAAGCAGAGAATATTAACTACGGTTAGAGACTTATGAACATCTAAGCAGGATGTTGTCAAACAGAAATAATTCTTATATAATTAGATATATGAATAAAAAAAATATGAAAATCAGCTTTGTCTTTTAGTGCACACGCACACTAGTATTTGTTTATAGAGGTTTTTCGTTTTGACGGATCGTCTTAGCCTTGGCCACGTCTGACACAAATGACAAGTAAGAATAAATAGTGTAAGGATTAGAGGCTCCATGAACCCTCCAACCTTTCTCTCACAGGTGGGTAGCGAGTGTCTCACTAGTCTATCGCTACTTCAACTGAAAGTGCTCAGACGAGCTACATTCCTTGGTTCCACCAGGTCTAGCCATCACGGCTAGGACCCTCCATGCCACTTACATAGTAGCAAACTACCCACATTCCCCCCGTATTTCATCGGCAAGAAGTAAGTCCCACTCAAACAGCTTCTTCCCGCGAACCACTGCTCCCCGATCACTACAATCTTATCTTTCCCTCCTATCCACATAAACTACTTCTACATCGAGTGGCCCCTGGACCTTGTACAGGGTAAAACTTACTGTGAAAAAAGACAAACAAAATTAACGATTACGATAGTATACATGGTAAAGTTTTATTCTATAAACATTCATGAAAATTCTACAGAAGCATCAATATTAATTACAATAATGCAAAAAAATATAATTCCAGTGAGGAATTCTGAAAAGAAAAAAAAAATTAAAGAAACATTATCTATTTTCAAATAAATTCCTTATGAAAAAGATATTATCTTCATGGCTTGATATTTATTATCTTTAACCAGTCTCTTAATCGACTGTGGCACACCAAGTTCAGATCGAACTCAACTTCATTGGATCTGCTTTGATAAATTTATAACGACGAAACACTTAAATGCCACGTGCTATAAAGATGCCCGTAAGATAACACGTTTCATCTATTTAACTTAGCTGTCTCTAGTTATGACTCAACAAATATTTGTATTTTCTTTAAACAATTACATAAAAAGAATAGTGTACAAACAAAAGCAAACTAACATCCATTCCGGGGCACCTCGAGGCGGTTTAATGGTTAGCAAGCTTGTCTCACTAAAACAATTACGACTGAATAGTGGGTTCGATTCTCACTGGATGCCCCATACTTTCGGCCTTGTGCCACATCTAAGCCGGGCTTAGAAAATCACTAACATCCATTGCGCTAGTGCGGATGTGGGATGAAGTCTTCCCGCTTTTTTCGAAACAAAAATCTAAATAGAAGACTAAATTTCTCTTCTTGGTCACAATCAATACAATGCTATTGAGATGAGCTGTATTATTTCTCTGAAATTATTCAAAATAAATCAGAAATCATTTTTCTTTTTCTTTTTTTTTTTTCGATATAACTTTATATAAGTCATATATATTTAGAATAAGTCTAGAGTTCTTATTCCAGAAAATAAGTACAAGACAAAAATTGTCTACTTAAATTTAAATAGGGGGTGCAACATGTGAGACTGAAATCCGAAGGCGCATTGGGATAGCGAATGGGGTCTTCCAAAATCTAAGCAAAGTATTATGAAACAAGAAATTCTCGTTAGAAACAAAAAAAAAAAGAGTACTGAACTGTTATGTAATACCGGTCCTCCTATATGACAGTAGATACTGGACACTCTCATCACAGATGACTTGCGGCAACAGAAATGTGTTTCTACAGAAGAATGCTGAGAATACTATGATCTGAACATATGATCAATGATGAGGCTTTAGAGGAAATGGAAACAGAAAGAACACTTATACTTAGCGTCAGAAAGAAATTTAAAATTTCTAGGGCGCATACTGAGGAAAGAAGACTTGGAGAATTTTACACTCAGAGGATATATTGAAGGCAAGAGGGACAGAGGAAAGCAGTGTATAACTTAACGAGCTTGTGTAAATGGTTGCCAGAACAGGGGTTAGGAGTGATAGCAAAAGGACAGATCTTTCTTAGAGCTGCAAAGGACAGAACATTGTGGAGGGCCATGATCGCCCATATCCTGAAGGGACACTGTACATAGAAGAAAAAGATTTAAATCAAAACAAAAAAAGATTTCATGGTAGAATAATAGATCTAAAACAAAATATTCTTTTTTTATGAAAGGGTCACATAAAAAAATATAGAAGCTTGATTTTTTTAAATTTATTATCTCATTTAGTGCGCGCCCATCTGATGCCCCCCCCCCCTTACACACATATTTTAATTTTTGGTGTCCTGCTTGACTAATGTAACATTTATTTTAATCCTTTCAGGATAAAAGTGATTATAGCACGCCATAGATTCCTTTCTTTATTATTTGTGAATTAACATGATTTTGAATTCAAATTTATCCTTTCTCTACCCGTCATCCAAGCCCAGAGAGCTCAGTTTTCCCAGCGATTTGATTCATGGCTGATAGATCAAAAATCGATTTAGAATTAGTGTGTAAGTAAACATAACAGACGAGGCGGGGATTTGAACTCCGTTCCCCAATTTCATTTTCCATTTTGAAAATAAAAATTTTAAAAATAAATTAATCTTTGAAAAGGGAAATCCTTCATTTCTAAAGCTCGTTCGAACTTGTAAGAACCACGATATCCTCTTCTAGGTATTATCAGTTTGGCCCATAAGTAAGAAAAGTTTAGGTTAAGGGTATGGGCTCCGGAGATAGGCGAGTTGAGGTTAATTCGTGGGTATTAAACGATCTTTTAGTCTGACGGAAGGTCGGATCTACCGCTCTCTAACCTATGTGACACCAGCCCTGCGAAGTTTCAAGATAGATCGGGTCGGGACGATTGGCTTCTCTCTCGTACATGCAAGAATATACGACTCCTTACGGTCTGGGGTTCGAAGGGAGAATCGCAGTCGGCTCGCCGACGGCAGACAGTCGGCCTGTAGAATTATCGCCGACGTGGGGCGCAAGATAGCTAAACCACATAAATACCCACCCATGTCTGCTGTAAAACGTTAGGCGCGGCTACGCCTCAACTAGCTCTCCCTCACCCGACCTTTTCTTCTTCTTTTTTTCATTTGTTTGTGCTTTTTGTCACTAATTCAGGTTTTCTGCCTATTTTGTTTCTCTTTTGTTGTTTCTTTTAAACTTTCCCCCCTTCAGCCTCCCTTTCGTTCTTCGTCCTTTCTTCATCATTCGCTTTCTCTCTCTAAATTCTTTATTTGGCGATTTTCTTTTTTTCTTTTTGTTTTATGAATTATTTCATTCATGTATTTTCCTTTACTTTTGCTAAGTACTTTTCTTTTTTCTTTGCTTTCTTTATTTTTTCTTTTTAATAATCCAAAGCCTAAGAGCCACTCAAGGTAGAGGGTTACTGAAGAAGGTTGTGGTATGTGCGGTAAGAGTAAAAGGTAAAAAGGTTTGTTTTTTTTTATCAGGATATGTGAGAACGATAACAGTTAGCTCTAGACATGAAGAGGTTAAGATTATAGCTGTCGGGAAAGCATCATCTCCGGAGTCAGTTCCGCAAAGTAGCTGTTTGTGGGGAGAAGCTGTCCGAGTGTGAAACTTACTAATGGAACACGAAATGAATACGTATGGTTCGATCCAGCGTACGTAGTTTGACGGATCTTAACTGCGAAGTTAAAAACTAAGTAATGTAACTCGTCAAAACATTTTCCATGGAAATAGCTATAGTGTAGCAACAGGTTTGCGGTGTTTCTTCTGTGGGAATTGGATTGGAATGTAGAAAGTAATTACTTACTAGATCTAGCCTAGTCTGGCGTAAAAGCAGTTATAGGGTACTCAGTCAGTATCATACACATTTTTTAATGTTCCCCACTGATGTAAAGGAATAACTAGTCACTCCCATGAATGATTACATTATAGGTCGCAAGTACCTAAGTCAACTGTCTACGAGAGACGGAGAGAAGGAGTGAGCGAGATGACCCAAGTACGCCCGACCTTCTAATTACTGGCACTCATTGCTAGATTGACCTGTGTGTATAATTGTACCGTATTTCATATTGTACTTGTTGTGTACAATAAACCTTTCTTCTAGTAGATACTTGGTGTTATGTGTTTATTCCCTTAGCACGGAATATAACATCCACAGATTCCTATTTTGTTTTTATCTGTGAATTACCATGACCTCTTGTGAAATATAATCGTGTAGCCAGCCTTTTTTACGGTCTTGAATTCAAAGTAGGCTTTCTCCGCTCAAGGCTAAAGGGTTCAGTTTACACTGCTATTTAACTTGTAGCTGCTGGAGACAAGAAATCGATTCATGCCTTTTCCTGGGGAATTAGTTCGAAGTAAACGTGATATACTAGGATGGAACTTGAACTCGGTTTGTTGGTTCCACTTTCCGCGCCGATAAACGTTACGTTAAATAGCTAAGTAGATTTTCGCGCGCTCTCACAGCTTCCTCCTATCTACAAAATTTGTAGCAATTCAAATCAGAAGTAGGGAATAGAGACACTATCGTAGTTAATTCTATTTTTTTCTTTTTTGTTTGTATGTGTATGTGTGTATGAGAATAAAATTTTAAAAAGGTTAATTACTCACTAAACAAAGGTCGTGTGCTATATAATTTATACTTACCTTTCTCTTTATTTAGAACAGGCATTCCCATACAAATGTATCTGTGTACTAATTTATTGAACGAATTTCATATATCATCATGCAATGTTTTCGGTATTGTTAAAGATGGTTCACATTCTAGAAAATTTGACGTTCGAATTTTTTAGCCGTTTTTACGTGGATGATGAAAATAAACATCAAAATATTTATAAAACCCAACCAGGATCTTGTTTACTGAATATTCAGTCAGTTATGTGTCATGCGTGATACACACTTAGGCGATCATGCACCTTTCGATACATGACTGACGAGGCAGATGTTTTTACCGGAGTAGGTTGCCATTTCTTTCTGCGGTAGACCCGTTGCCATCCACGGCTATAGAACCCGGTCTGTCCTGCAAAATTACCCATAACTGGGGAGAGAAGAGGATTCATACCGTCCCCAAGGGTATTAGCACGTCAGTTATGTGCCATGCGTGATACACGCTTAGGCGTTTGTGTATTTTTCGATACATGACTGACGAGGCAGATTTATTTTACCGCAGTAGGTTGCCATTTCTGTCTGCGGTAGACCAGTTGCCATCCAAGGCTATAGAACCCGGTCTGTCCTGCTATTTACACATAGCTGGGCGGGGGGGCACCTCGAGGCGGTATAATGGTTAGCAAGCTTGTCTCGCTAAAACAATTACGACTGAGTAGTGGATTTGATCCTAACTGCCCCCTATTTTCAGTCTTGTGCCTCATCTAACCTACGCTTGAAAAATCACTACCCATAGCTGGGGAGAGGAGAAGAAAATTTATACCTTTCCCAAGGGTATTAGCACGTAAGTGAACGTAACGATTTCGACTGGAATTCGAACTCGGCTCTCTGATTTCTCTATCCGAGCCGCTATCCATTACTCCACTGCTCACAAATACTCGTTTTTTCAGAGAGAAGTGAGTACAAAATACATGCCAATTGACCAGATATTTATCCACATGCTTGAAATTGCAATTAGCGAAAACATTTTGTTTATTCGTACCTAGACTCGTTACCATATTTTGAATGAGAGGTTAGGACCGTTCTGGAGTGTGGATTTGGGGGCTAAGCCCCCCTCCCTGTATTATTAAATAACTGAATCCTCAATCCGAGCCATTATCCATTACTCCAACGTGCCGCCTCTTTACGGTTAATATTAAATATAGGCAATCCTGTTACGATCATATCGGGATATTTCATTAACATTTCTCACTTGCCTGTACTTGATAGAGTTCGAAAGCGTCTCTGCGTCCTTGGGTTGGTGGGGGGGTGATTAATTATTTTCCACCCTACAACCACTTTCCCACAGATGAATCGTTGCAAGCCCCTAGCTGCACAATAGCTATTCCCACGGCATGTGTTATGACTTAGTCCCGCCACCCTTGACCTTTACTACTGCGACCCACCATTCCACGTACACATGGGTTAAACATCCCCGTCCTCTTCGTATTCTATTAGTACGAAGTAAGTTCCACTCGGACAGCTTCTTCCCAAGAATTGCTGTTTTGTGGAACAGACCTCCGGCAGGATATTTTCCAAATCACTACAACCATAACCTCTTTAAGTCAAAGGTTAACCGTTATCTGTCTTCCATAGTGCTATGATCCCCACTTCTTGCCCTAACTTACGCTCATACAACACCACACAATAACCCTCTACCTTGATTGGTTCCTATGCCTTGTATTGGGAGACCATTAGTATTTTTTAAAAAAAACCTACAATATGGACATCAGATTGCGGGACCGATAAATATATAAAGTCACGTCCTGTTTTATAGAATAGTTGAAGAAGCGTAGTATTTATGCCTTAATGAATTTTATCTGCTAAACTTACCACAGTGGAAGGGGACGTTAGCGTTTCGCAAATGAGACCTGAGTTCGAATCTCATCATCGTCGATTTGTCAACGAGATGACTTCTTGATAATATCGGTTTGGGGAGACAATCCCAGAGTGCGGCACCGTTGGGAAGTACCTGAAAACTTTACCACAGGTTGACCCAACCCTTGTGAGTGAAGGTAACGGAAAATGACTCCACCTTCTTTGTCAGGAGTCATGACAATAAAGAAATTTTGAACGGTTATAATTGCCTGAGGTATGAAATGACAAGGCACTAAAAATACCTTAGTGTGACACAAGGCTACTGGTTTTGGGAACTTAGTGGAGGTCATACTCAAACTTGTGAACTAGCCAATGAGACAAGTTTGCTGACCATGGCATTACGGAAGCTTTTTGTGTGAGAGCGTAATAAATATATCCATTTATACGTTAAATAAAGACTTCCATGATTTTGTTTTGTTTTGCATGCCTTTTGTGGAGTGGGTATACCTGAAATAGGTATACCCCCACCCAGAGGATTTAGAGCATGTTGTTTTTTTTTTTTTTTTGTTATTTATATCCGTATAATTTTTTTAATCCTGTAATAAAGTATATATATATATATATATATATATATATATATATATATATATATATATATATTCAATTTTTCTTTTATATATATTTAACATCGGTGTAAGTTCCTTTTTATGTACTTTTTTGTGAATGTGTGTGTGCTTGCGGGCGCCTGTGTGTGTCTGTGTGTGTGTGATTGTAAAAATTCGTATATAAATAAAATATATCTCTAAAAAGCCAATATGAATAAAAACAAAAGGGAATATAACTTACTTAGACGGAAAGTTCTTGAGAGTGCCGCTACCGAGTCTTGCCAGAATATTAGCCTGCGCAACGGATTTTTTAATAATATCTCCTTTCTTAAAACAAATATTTCTTTTCCACGCCAACATTTATGACCATAAAAACTTTTTAAAAAATCAAAAGAAAACGCTTAAATCAAAACCTTCTATTATGTAAAATAAATAAACACATAAATAATTAAAAAAAAGTTATAATAAATAATAATTACAGTAATATAAAGAGCAAAGAAATATAAACAAAAAAGAAAATTCAACAACAATAACAACATTTACTCAATTTCGTTTATTAGGCATTAAATTACATCATTTAGCATCGTCCATAGTTTATCTTTACTTCAAAAGTTAGCACTAAAAATATTTTAAATTTAAACGATTTGAAAAACCTAACGATATTTTATTTCTGCTTATAAATACATGTTGCAAAACAAAATCCTTAGGAGGTTGAAACGTGTTGGTAAAAAAAAAATGTTTTCATTTTGTCTTCATTCATATTGTCTTTTTACGATATATATATATATATATATATATATATATATATATATATATATATATATATAAGTTTGATTAAAAGAACTGACAACGTCTGTCTAATTTTATTGTATTTTTCCAATTATCGTTATCGAAGAAGGTGTTTAGTATTGCGCTCGAAATTGTGGATAAACTGTCCTAAGTTCATATTTTGTTATTTTTTTTCAGGGTATTTTCGATCGTCTCTATCATTTGCACGAAACAAAGTGGTCTCTGTGTGGCAGGCAGTATTCATTTCTTTACATCCTGATATTCTTTGGACATAAACGTTATAAAATTACTACAAAAATAGCCATTTTGTTTTAACACTTCCGCTGTCTTCTCAGAAGTTCATCACCACCCCTTGAGAAGACACCAGAAGTGTTGAATGGCTATTTTTGTAGTGATTTTATAACATGTTTATGTTATAATTTTTAAATAAATAAT